TTCATAATAGGTGCCAATCATAGTGAAAATCGTAGCTGGAATTAGACATCAATGCGAAAACATAGATATATATATATATATATATATATATATGAATTTGAAAATACCACACTCTACAACAAATATAATTTTAATATAATTCATTTTATTTCCTTTTATATCCTCTGCCAAATGCAAATATACAATCCATAATGAAAATTTAATTAAATATATAACCCAACTTATTATACCCTAATAAACAGATATAATCACTAAAATGTATAAAAGAATTAGAAATGATATTAATGAAACCACAAATTAACTAATTAGCCCTTTGTATGACCAGTTTCGTTAACCTGTTATCGTTCACTTTGTATCCATATTCCAATTTACAAACCAAAGTGCTTCAAGCTATTTCTCCCTTATTTGCATAAAATTACGAAATAACAGTTAAACTTTAATCCTTAAATAAATATAAAAAATATTGCTGAAAGCATATAAATTCATATTTACTGAAAAATTTCATGAAATTTTAATATTCTTTTATCCTTTTTATTTTATACCAATATTCATATAAATGAACAAGGACTTTCAAGTATTTACATTAAAAAGTTTAACACAATTAAAATTCAATTGATATAAAAAAAAACATTGTTTTCATTTATCTCCAACTTTGATTTCTTTACTTTATAATTACGATTATCTGCTCCGGCCTTGTTTATGCAAGCGACCCAAGGAAAGTCAAAAGTCAGGGAAGAGTTCAAAAGTAAAATTGCCACATTAATTCCCAATTGAAAACCATAAAATTTAATACGCAACAACTTGTAAATTTTCATCAACGTCCGAATGTTTTTCCAAATACCATTAATTCTTCTAAAAATGGATAACGATAAATTTCTATGTAACTTTGATATATCAAAGGGTAAAAGTACTATAACTGACAAGAAGACGAAATGCATAACAATGGGAAAATGTTGAGGAGGGAAAAAATTCTAACCATGGAAAATTGTTAAGCTTTTGTAAAAAAAAAAAAACAAATGATGATGAAAACCGAAGGCGAAGAAATAAAATTTTAAAGGATTTTAAGCATATTTACGTACACAAAATATAAAGTAGAACAATAAAATTCTAGTGAAAGCATATTATAAATATACTTCAATTAATTTCAGCTGTTTTATTACTCATGAATATTTAGTATTAAAATAATGAAAAATGGAAAGCAATATACTTATTACTATCAACTTTCTAGAAAAATTTACATTTTTTGATAGTCAGCTTTTCTTCTTAATTGGAATTAATTGTAATTATTATAATCTCTAAATAATTAGTAACAGATACAGATTAATTTATTATCAATTAGTTAATAAAAACGACCACCAGAGAACTAACTATCTTTATAGAAATGATGTGAATGAGAAATACAATACGGTTTAAATATCTTTCGCGAGATATCTTCCAATACTGCATTTTTTCAAAGTCAATGAAAGACATATTACACATCATCAGATTATCAGATTTTCATTTTTAAATCAAGAAGAATTTGATGACCGTGTCAAGAAGAATTTGATAATGTATACAATCCTTAATTCACGTGATTCGGAAAACATCCTGCTCAATTTAACTTTCTGTTGGACCCAAATTTTTTATGTATCTATTTCTTCATTTTCACGCCAAAAAAGTTGTTATTCATGTGAATATGTAGCGATCACTATTGAAAATAAATATAAAAGCTTTATTATATTCCAAAAAATTACAAACATCCACACCAAATACAATGTATTTGTGTCCATCAAACGAATAATGAACTTTATCAATAATAAAATTTCTATACAAAAAATCGTTATCTAAACTCTTTTGTTCGAGCACCAAATAACCAACAGATGTTCAACGTATAAAACATTTTATAAGATGACAAACCCAAACTAAATATATACCTAATCCTGTGGTGCTACAACGAGTTATTATTTGAGCTGAAGTTGGCTTTGGGCACAAGGTACCACTCCAACATAATCGATTTCTAATAAAGCATTATCCAAACTGAGACTCAAAACAGAGTTAATGGTTTTTAAAGGGCTGTACACTTTGTACATTTCTGAAAGATTTTAGTTTAGTGGTTCGATACTCTTAATCTTTCAAATGGCAATTTTTTAGCTAAAGTCTAATTATGACTTTTCAGATTGAAATACAAAATTGTTTTAACTCCAACAAAGGGCTAAATCGTTGGTCATTTAAATCAAAGTTCT